GTCTGTATAACCTACGCGTCCTTCGCTAATGCCCGCTTAGGTAGCCCCCGAGCGCGCTCAAACACAATCGTATGCCTTTTATAGACCCCGCTAAGAATAGGGCTGTTCTAGATTAGTAATTAGATTGATTTGGTTTTTGCTATGCAGGTAATCAAAATAGGGACTTGAGATTGTGGTTAATTTGATTAACTTTAAGTCAGATAATATATTTTGTCATTTAAACTTGGAAATTCGAAAAGAAAAGTTCGAATACTTTAAAAATCCCCGCAAAACTACATCCTATTTTACTTCTTATAGTCTTAATTCCTAGAATCTTTTGTAGTGATTTGATGTTTCCTTGAACTTGCCTTTGTGTGAAGCAAGGGAAAACGTGACATGCATTTACTATACTTAGGATTTTTCTAAAACATGAGAGCGATCAGACTAACTCTGATAAGATGGAGAATGTAAAGTCATTTGGCACAAAAGAAAAAATGTTTTTTGTTTGAGCATTACTTCCATATTCCATGCTTTGTTTACCTTGTTCAACACTCGATTTGGTTGCCCTATTATATTGTAGCTAGAATGGCTTCATTGCTAACTTTACAATGAAATAAGTATGTAGAAGAGCTTTTTTGAGACCACTTAAGTAGAGCACTACGATTAAACCATGACACTGATGCTGAAGGTATCGATTATGTCGGCAGTCATTAAAGATATTCATCGAAGATAATTCTCAGCCGGACGTGCGAATATTCGCATCCCGTTATCATAAATAACGTTATGAAACATCTGGTTAATGGCCGCAAGACACAACTGCAAGGTTATTCCTGAACATGATTCACTATGTTATTATATAAAATTCGTTCAGAAAATTATTGGTAATTTATTTGGCAAGCCCCATCTGGGTCGACTGTAAAGTAGTCGTCGGAGCAGCATTGAAGCGTGGCCCCCGGCATTATCTTGCGACAGAGCGCCACCAGCGCGCTGCGTTCCCGCCAAATCCAATATCCGCACGCGTAATAACAATCGCGACCGTCTATCGGCCGCGCGTAAATTATGCACGCCTAGACAACTTACAGCTACCCTCCGAACAAACGAAACTCGACTCTAACGTGCTGCATGAAGAGTCAAAACAAAAGTACAGTTAATATTGTTCGCGAACGGTCGCCGACGACGCCGTCGTGCTAATGGCTACGCGACCCTCCCTCCCCGCCTCTCTGCGCCCCCTCGTCGCAAGCTAAGCACACGTTCAGAAATAAGGGAAAAGCTTTGTGCCTAATTGTGTATAGAGATAGTTGAATACAAATCGCAATGAATAATTAATGAAGTTGATACGTTTATTTTGGTGGACCGCGATTCTGTGAGGGTTTGCCGATATTAGAACTGTTTAGCAAGCGAAATATAGTTAATTATTGAGTGCTTAGAACTCGGATTTTCAATTATCTAATGGATTTACTTTTGTCATAGTGAAACGGACAGGTAAAACTATCCGGGGTCTATACAGATACAGGTTACCTAAAACAAACTTGACATTTATATAAAATATGTTTTCTGTTTCAGGGTTGGTACTGAAATTTTAATCATAGTTACAATCCTCAGAATACATGACATCATCAATGCACTAAACAAAACAATAAAACAACTGCAATCAAACTAACTGTAACTTAAAGTCTACGAGTGGAATACATGTAAACAAATTAATTAGCGAGACTTCAAAACTAAATTCGCGCCCATCTCCGGTCGCGAGCGTACGTATTTCCACACAAAGACTTACGAAGCTCGAGACCGCGCTCCAATTCCCGCGCGACGAAGCGCGATGGCGGACGGCGGGTGCGCGGGAAAATACACCGCCCGTTTGTTCGCCGTGTTTAGCGTCGCGTTCGCTATAAGGACTTTATTTTACAACCTTTTTTTTCTCGTTCACGTTTTTGAATTTGGAATTTTTTTAAAAGAAGTTTCAAATAAGATGTGAAATTGGAAAATGTTTAACTGAACAAAGCGACAAACGGTTTGCGTTGGAAAATGTCTTTGTTTAGTTTAAATTAAAATGTAGTTCAAAAGACACCAATGTATTGCAGGTACATTTTACTCAAGGGAATATCACGAGTATTACTAGCTAATCTAGGCAGGTATAAAATATACCATCCACTTTTCATCAGTTATGTTATGGTTTCGGACTCCATGCTATTATTGACAGATTTTAGAAAATTTGGAAAGTCTCCAATATCTTACCTATGAATCAAACCCGAGAACTCATGCTCGGACAGTTGTACTCGCTTTCCTCGATTAACGTAGCACTTTAGAATTAAAAAGAATATTCAGATATAGAAACAAAATTACAGAACTAAGTGAGAATCTTTCTAGACGGACGGAACCACGCGTCGCGAAATTCTAAGGAAGTCGCCGTCGGCTCAGTATAGTCCAAGTATTTTTTTATGTGCGTCGGACGGCCAGCCTCCTTGGAATATCGGATGGAATATTTATCACTGCGATCATCGTAATGTGTGACTGGGAATCAATAAGTAACGCTTTAGTACTGTTGACAGTTTAGGTACACCCAGTGATGTGAAATGGGAAAAAGTGAAGTTATTTTCCGTTGAGGGGTTTTTACGTGAATTGATGGGACAGAGTTGTTTATTTGTTTTAATGAATGTGTTGATGAATTATGGGGTTACCTTGGAACTTGGAACTTCATCGTATTGGTGAGAAAATACAATTAGTATAGTAAATAAGGGTACCGAGGCTCCGGCTCGACGTGCCGGAGAAGGAACGGGGTGGTTTTTAGTCAGTAAGAGTCTGACACTCCCTCCCGGCTCACCCAGGTGGGAGTAGTCTTTCGATGACTTTCGCCCCATAAAAAAATTACTATATTTGGACTGATAAAATAACCAGCGAAAGAGCAACATTCACTTTATAAATTTATTTTAAGCAAATGAAATACGTTTTGCACATAGCACTTATACAGAAAAGTATACATAATTTTCAACACTAAAGTCACCATTAAATAGGGAATTAAATACTCATACACAACAGTGAACGCATTACCTCAAAAGCCGACTGATAAAGTACAAACCATACCATATACCCCAAACTAGTAATAAAATGCAAGTCATTTGTAAAGCATTTTCTCCACTACCCTTCAGTTCCCCAAGAACTTGGCTAGCGTTTATGCGAAACGAAAAGTGTTAAGGATAATAAATAAATCATGTCGTAGATAATCGCAAAGCGATGGGGAGACTGGGCGAAAGCGAGCGTCAGGTGTACAATACTCAAATTGCCCTCCTCTGTCCGTTCCCTGACATGACTTGGAGTTAAAACATTGGAATTTTCTGTTGATTGTTATTGACTGATACTCAGTAAAAAAAAAACAGCACGGTCTTAGGAATAGGATTAGCTGATGTTGGATAATAGACTGACGTGTAAAATGTGTGCGTATACAGATGGGTTCATCATTTCATCAACAGCTTATAAATGTCCACTGCTGAGCAAAGCCGCTTCTCACATGGAGAAGGTTAAAGCATTAATCACCACGCTTGCTCAAGCGGGTTGGCGATTTCAAACTCATAATTAGAAATTATAAGCCCAGGTTTCGTCACGATGTTTTCCTTCACCGTTGCGTTGGTTAGTGGTGTCTAAATAATCATAGAAAGTAACTCGGAAAAAGTCACATTGATACTTGCGGTTTGTAGGTTTCGAATCTGCACCCTCGTGCATGAGAAGCAGGCATCTTCAACCTCCGGGCCACCACGACATATGTGTGCAGCCTGTTTTTTTTAATATAATAGCCGGTATCACATTCCTTTTCTTCCATATTTATTCTTTTTAGCGTAACAAATACAAAATTAATATTTCAACCTAGAGAAAGTACCCCGGCAATTAACCATTTAATACTATTCCATGCTGCTAGCTACAAACAAATCTGACATTGTCAAACTTAAATAATGAGCTGTTAATATTGATCCTCCTTCAACATTCGCTTGGTCTGCACTAAATTTTAACAGACGCGATGTAGACTAGTCTACGTAAAGAAGAGTAAAGTATTCTCTCATGTTACATAATAATCAGCTATACTCGACCCGGCGGAGTGTAAGCGGTGGATGAAAGCGGCTCACTCGTCCACCGTGCCCGCATACACCCGAGACCCGAGGTACCTCACATGACTAGTAAGTACACGCGCAATTTCCTCAGGGCTGGCACAGATCTGTGTTGTTAATTTATATATTTTTTACTTAATTATAGTGAGAGTTTAAATATATGTAATTTGATTGTATGATGAATTGTGTTTGTTATCCAACCACAATGAATGTCGTTTAATGGGTTTGAGCGTGATTTAACAGATATTTTTATGAACTTTTGTTTACAGATCTAATGAATGATAAAGAATGACTGTGAAAATACTGATACCGCTTTAACAATTAGAATAGTGTGATGATTAATGTGATTCCAGTACTAACTTTAAAAATGAAACGAGACCTTTTTAAATATATCTAATTAAAATCATGATTGCACAACGCTTTGGGCAGAAACACAAAATAATCCAATTTTTCTTTATTACCAGATGCGGTGGAAGGGCCCTATTTCCCACGTGCGTGCATCGCCGGGGGCTGAACGCCTTAATTTCGATAATCCTCGTGCGTGTCCGCAAGCGATGACCGCGTGCTTGCGATATATTGTGCATTCTAATGTTCAAACCAATAAAGATTAGTGGTGAACAACAGTCCAGATGGTGTTGTACACAAAATAAGGGTTATGAAATTTCCAAGCTATGTAGTGTAATAGTAAAAAAAGTTTATTTGAATGAGTTTATTTTTACCTATGTGCAATCAAATAAGTTTTCTAGTTCAAATACATAAATGTATGTCTTTAAGAACGTATAGGCCCCTTGCACCCTTATGGGTGCGACCTTAAGAATTTCTTTGCTCGCCCCAGTGCGTTTCGCGTTTCCATAAAAAGTTCTGTCATTGCGTTTGGCGCGTACGCACGTCATTGCCGCGATGGAAAGTCAACCGAGTAAAACAATGTCTTCGGGTGTTGTGAAATGTGCTAGTTGTAATGTGGTGATCAACGAAATACTTGCTTTTATCTGTAATAAGATAGATGTGATGGATGAAGAAAGTATAAGCCGAATCTGTGTCAGTGCTTTCTCGGAAAATGATATTCTGAAAGCCAAAAACTTGTTGTTCGATTCCGTTACGACAACAAAGCAAAAGAAGATACGGAAAAAACAAGGCAAAACAATACGTAATATCGACGATATAGTATGCCTATTGAAAGAGACTGACCCTGAGGATATTCCTATTTTTGTGGCACGGGACCTGCAGAAGTTACCTCCAGTACTTTTTGACCATGTAGATGTAACTAGGATACTGAAGGATATTGTAAAAATGAGAAGTGACTTAGACCGTATTTGCGAAGAATATGCTACATTGGAACAGATGAAGAACCTGCGGGTGGAGGTAGAATCTCTAAAAAACGCGTCCATAGTAAATAATTTCCAACGAAATGTCAATACCAAAAGGGGTGCTGCCTCCATGCTATCTAGTTTTGAGTATGAAAGCGGACCCATGGGTTTGTCCCCTCTGTGTAATGCACCAGTAGCTCGCAGAAAAAGTCCAACAGTCTCTCCTGCAAAAAAACGCATAACTTTTTCTGATGAGGGTACATTGAAAACTACTCCGTGCCGGGAGCCCAACAGTTTACATTCCGATGGAGCGCTCAAAACAGCTGACACTAACACGTCATCGGAACGCGCGCCCCCCGCCGCCACCGCTGCCTCAACTACAAAGGATTCCTCACAAAAAAGTTTTTCCCAAATTTTAAGTGACTCGGAAGGCGAGTTTAGGTCACAACCTTTGGACGACGGCTTTATACTGGTTCAAAGAAAGAGGTTGAGAAACCGTTTCCAAGGTAAAGTTGGAAAGGGTAACGTAGATATAACTTCGAACTTCAGGGCCGCCGACGTCAAGGTTCCGATATATATCTACAATGTATCAAAGGAAACATCCACGAGTGACATTAAGAAATACGTTACAAGTAAAATAAACATAGACATTGACCTTCAAAAAATGAATATGAAAATTGCGAAGGACTACAATGCTTATAAAATATTTGTACCCAAAAATAAGCTCAACGTATTTCTGAGGGATGATTTTTGGCCAAGTGGAGTGATGTTTCGTCGATTTGTTGACTTTTCTCACAACTCTGTGGTACGTGAATATCGGGATATTGATAAAACTAAGCTAACATAATAGATATACCTACCAAACTAATATCGTTTAATTGTAAAAATATCTCGAGGTCAATCGAATGTGTGAGAAGACTTTGTAACCAAGCAGACATCATTGCGCTGCAGGAAACGTGGCTATTGCAGCACGATATCCCTATGCTGGGCAACATTGATGGTGCATTCGCCTTCACTGGAAAGTCGGCGGTAGACCTGTCTACGGGTGTGCTTCGCGGCAGACCGTACGGGGGTGTGGCCCTATTGTGGCGATCAGCTGTGTTCCCGAAGGTGGTCGTTATTCCGTGCAGTAGTGTGCGTATCGCTGCTATAAAAATTATGCGTGAAAACCGGTCTTTGTTGGTGATAACAGTGTACATGCCTACTAATTCAAATGATAATCTATGTGAATTTACGGAGTGCTTAAGTGAACTAAACGCCATTATTGAAGGTAACGATGTTAACTCAGTGATTATACTTGGGGACTTCAACGCTCATCCGGGTAAGCTGTTTCATTCAGAGTTGTTATCATTTTGCACGGAACAATCTTGGTCGTGCGTAGATACGGAACTTTTACCTAATGACACTTATACGTATGTGTGCGGTGCGAGTGGCAGCCACAGCTGGCTCGATCATTGTGTGGTGACGACCGCTGCGCGTTCGGCCATATTAAGTGCGTCTGTACTTAACAGCGATGTATATTGGTCCGATCATTATCCGCTATTGCTTGTTTGTAATTTTAATGCTATCCGCTCAAGTTGCCAACAGCCGACAAAAACAAGTAATATATCTCGCAATAGTGTAAAATGGGGAGAAAGAAATACAAATCAAATAGACAAATATCATCGTATTTGTAATTCTAAATTAAAGTTAATTGACTTTCCCCCGGAATTTCAATGTTGTGCTGACGGTATGTGTAATATTGACGAGCATAAATTTTTATTAGATGACATGTATAATAAGATAATTAATATTTTGACGAGGGCTGCAAAAGCTAGCTATTCTTTGCCTAAACGTAACAACTATAGGTATGTTACTGGCTGGAACCGGTATGTCAGTGACGCTCACAGGAGGGCTCGATTTTGTTTTCAGACGTGGGTGTCCGCTGGGAAACCAAAGTCTGGTGATTTATATATTAGGATGTGTGAATCCAGAAAAATGTTTAAATCAAGGTTGGCTTCTTGTCAGAAAAATGAAAAACAAATAAAAATGAATATTATAGCAGAAAACCATTTTAATAAAGACTTTAGTAGTTTTTGGAAAAACACTAAAAAGCTAAGCCCGGGGTCGGGCCTTCCTGCTAGCGTTGGTGGTGAGCATGACCCCCATGATATAGCTTGTGCGTTCCGGCGGCATTTCAGGGTTGAGTCCCCGCTCGGGCCGGCGTCTGGGGTGCCCGCTGCTGAGAATCTCATCACCGCAATTAGTGTACGATGTAATGCGAAGACAATTGCTAATATTATTAATAAAATGGTGAGGGGCAAGTCTCCTGGTCACGATGATCTCAGCATCGAGCACCTTAAGTATGCGGGAATACACCTGCCTAGAGTTCTCTCGATGTTCTTCAGCCTCTGTATTGGTCACAGTTACTTACCCGAGAGACTTATGTACACTACCGTGGTGCCGATCCTTAAGAATAAAACAGGTGACTCATCGGATCTGTCAAATTATAGACCTATCTCTCTGGCTACTGTTATAGCAAAGGTGCTGGACAGTTTGCTTGATAAACAGTTGGAAGAGCATCTACAATTACACGACGCCCAGTTTGGGTTTAGACCAGGACTTTCAACTGAGGATGCTATCCTCTGCCTCAAGCAGACTGTTCAGTATTATACTGATCGTGGCACACCTGTCTATGCATGTTACCTTGATTTATCAAAAGCTTTTGACTTGGTGTGTTACGACAAGCTGTGGCAGAAGCTGGAGAGTGACACGGAGGTACCTCGGGAGGTGATTTCATTGCTGAGGTTCTGGTACGCCAATCAGCGCAACAGAGTGAGATGGGCTGGTGCACATTCTGATGTATACGGTTTGGAATGCGGAGTTAGGCAGGGGGGAATTAGCTCCCCTCATCTCTTTAATTTGTACATGAACCGGCTCATCGGTGAGCTCAGTAACACTGGTATCGGATGTTCCATAGACGGAGTCAGTATAAATAACATAAGCTACGCCGATGATATGGTGTTACTGAGCCCATCGATTGCAGCGTTACGGAAATTGATGTGCATCTGCCAATCATACGCGGAAGCCCATGGGCTCAGATACAACGCGAATAAGAGTGAGTTCATGGTGTTCAAGTCACGTAGCAAATGCTACTCCCATGTTCCTCATGTAACTCTGTGCGGCATGCGTCTAAAAAAGGTTAGTGCCTTTAAGTATCTGGGTCACTGGGTGACTGAAGACTTGTGTGACAATGAGGACATCGAGAGGGAACGCAGGGCTCTGTCCATCCGGTGTAATATGTTGGCTCGCAGGTTTGCACGTTGTACTACTCAAGTAAAGATAACATTATTCAAGGCGTACTGCCAGACCTTTTACACGTGCAGCTTGTGGACTAATTTTGCGCTGCGGGGGTACAGTGCACTGCGAGTGCAGTATAACAATGCGTTTAGGATATTATTGGGGCTGCCACGTTTTTGTAGTGCTTCCGCTATGTTTGCTGAGGCGCAAACTGATGATTTTTTCGCCATAATCAGGAAAAGGTGCGCCTCGCTGTTAAGGCGTGTGCGTGGCAGCCCGAATGGTATTCTGAGCACATTGTCCCAGCGGTGGGACTCACCAATGTTGATGAGGTGGATGCGATTGCACGCGAGCGGTCCCTCATATTTATAATTGACATAACTATATTATTTACTTGTATTATTATCTATTGACTAGTATTTTTATTGACTTATATTATTATTGACTTATATTGGGATTGTATTGACTATTTATAATTGAAACTGACTACTTATAATTAATTGACTATTTACAATTGAAATGGACTATTGACTATGTATGTTCTTTGTGTGTTTGTGTAATTTATTATTTTGATTATTTGATGTATGAACGAATTGATTATTATTTTTATTATTTTTATTTTATTATGATACTTGATATAGAGACAATTTTTTTAATTTTTAATTTATTTATAAAATTTTTGAACCTGAATTCGTTTTAAATGTAATTTTATGGATTTTATTATCTGAAATAAATTGGTATTATTATTATTATTATAAAAAGATCGCGTGCGCTTCGGGGTCGTCGAGTATTGTGTGTCGGCGTGCGCTATCGCGCGCGCCGTCTTCAACTCTCAACAAAGAAGTATTCGGAGTCGCGGAGAACCTAACGGGTAACCGGGGCTCCGGCTCGACGTGCAGGAGAAGGAACGGGGTGGTTTTTATTCAGTAAGAGTCTGACACTCCCTCCCGCCTCACCCAGACGAGAGCAGTCATTCGATGATTTTCCCCCCTCAAAAAAGGGGAGCGACCTTTGTTTAGCTTTCTACCGGCTAAAGATGATGACTTGTAAATAACTAAAAGAAAACTTTTAAATAATTTAAATTAACTCGTTGAGTACCGTCATTATAGACACAATTAAAGAATAGTAGGTTGCGGTCACCGGTGACCGCTTGATGTTTGACAGTTTAAATCTAATGCTACTTAAATTCCACGTTCCGTACAGCCCTGCTAGTGAGGTATGCGTCGCGGGGAGACGCGGCCGCCTTGACAGCGCAGCGCCGTTAATTCCTGAGCGCTGCCGCGGCCGATTGACAACGCGTTCGGAATTTATCGACGCGCACACTCGCCGACGATGCTGGCCTATAGTGTTGGGATCGTATCGATACATAAAAATAATTAAGGTTGTGTTATAAGTCAAGTATATTTCACATAAACCTACATTATAATATGTCAAGCAGTGGCATCGTCTTGAAGCTGATGTAATTAAGATCCTACTTTACCTACCCACTTCATATTTTTATGTTGCTTAAGATCCAATGTTAAGATATTCGATATTTATAGAGTTTGGACTCCAAAAACTGGCATGTAAGAGCGGTTTAAATAAAATCTTCACTTAAAATCCTATCACACTAAGAACTTAAAACCATTGTTTTATTAGTCTCTGAGACTCTGAGATGAGAAAAAACCGGTCTAGTTGAAGTAAAGGCTTCGACATAAAAATATCGATTTTGTTCAAAATATCGATACATTCCCCCACTTCTAGTGAAATCACTACTCGCGCCTCTACGTTCAGTATATACTGCTTATATACCTGTCAGTAAATAAGGGCACGCCTTTTAGGTCCAACCGCGTCTCCTGCCAGCTCCTGTCTGCTGCTCCATGAGCTGAAATGCGCACTAAAACTTGGTGAATGCCATCTTATAAGAGCGTTACTTAAAACAACTACCGATACAATAACTAGCTATATTACTTAACACTATACAGCCGTTTGCTTATTCACCCCCGATGATATTTTGTGTTACTACAACTTTTCACTATTTCTGTTATGAGTCCCATATAATAGGGGGTGAACCTATTTCCATATACCGGGCACATTTCCAGACTCCGTGCTACTACTGAGATTTTTTTTAAAATCTGGTAATACTATATTTATAAAGTCTATTTATGTTGTTTGTTTTTTTTTTATAATACAAATGCCAATTTTTTTCGCCGATTTCCAATTTAACCCTAAGGTTGACTGGGAGAGAATGTCATATGGCATTAATGTCCGCCTTATATACCATTACTTGCTTCTGTGTACATTAAAGTTTAAATAAATAAATAATACTTTGCCCGACCCGGCAGTCGCACTTACGACCACTCGGCTATAGCTTATAGCTTAGCTAGCTTAGCTTAGCTAGCTTATAGCTTCATAATCATATGAGCCTAAAAATCCCAGTTCTTCTGTCCCCGTAGTTTCTGGAGCTAAGAATTCTAACCACAACAAAGAACTATGTTCAGTTAAAATTACTGAGTTTTGGGAATGCATTGTCTATTTCTCAATCATTGAAGAGCTCTCTAATATCTATAAATTAGCAGATAGATACCTTCTTCAGTAAAAACATCAAGTTAAACTGTCAAACACCAAGCGGTCACCGGTGACCGCAACATATTGTTCTATAATTGTGTCTACAAAACCGGTACTCGACGAGTTAAATACACCTCTATACCACTAAACATACTGTTTAAGTTTCTTTGTCACGAAACACGAGAAAAAGTACCAGATTCCCTTATTGAAATTGGTACAGTCGAAGATTTACGAATTACTATGCGTACAGTAGCGTGATACCTGATTCGCATTCACTATATCTAGCACGGCCGTCCATGTAAATCGGAATCTCTCCTTACCTACATATAAAATAAAATGAAATAAAATTGTCACAGTTAATGTCTACATTCACACTATCTCCAAATATTAAACAAACTAACACGGGATTTGCCAGGTTTGTAATTTAATTGACATAACATAACATCACGCCTTTTGTCCTCGAAGGGGTAGGCAGAGGTTTACATTATGCCACTGCACAATGTAACATCCACTTTTCACTATTTATGTTATGAGTCCCATATAATAGGGGGTGAGCCTATTGCCATATACTGGGCACGATTCCAGACTCCGTGCTACTACTGAGAATTTTTCCAAAAACCAAGTAGTACACACGGCCATACATCAATCTATACAAAACCAGTTTATCCTGGTGTCGCGTCGCATCATCTTTCCGCACATTTAACGTTCAGTTTATACTGGTTATGTAAAGCTCGATGTGTAGCCGCGTGTACGTTGCCCGACCCGGGAATCGAACCCGAGACCCCTTGTCCGGCAGTCGCACTTGCGACCACTCGGCCAACGAGGCAGTAATTTAAACTGTCAAACACCAAGCGGTCACTGGTGACCGCAACCTATTGTTCTATAATTGTGTCTATAATGACGGTACTCGACGAGTTAATTGACTTTGTTTTTGATTAGAAATCTATATAAATAAAAATGAATTTACGTGGTTAGTCTAGCTAAAACTTGAGAACGGCTGAACCGAAGTTTTAAATGGAAACTGAATGGTAGTTCAGCGAAGGTTTAAAAGGTGGGAAAAGAAATTTTAAGTGGTACGAAGTCTGCCAGTCTGCTAGTCATACGGTTAATTAGATGAAAGGTACGCCAGAATCAAGGCATTACTCGATTCATTATTATCTCTGTCTCCCCAAATGGAATGCAGCAACGACAATACTTTTCAAAACCTAAAAAAATTATACACGTGGCCATAGCCACGTGTCCAAAGATTACAAAGCTAGAATTGTAACAAAAGTCAAACAGCACGATCGCGGTCAAACCTCAGATGGGTAACCGCTGTTTGAAGAGGACCCTTGGCTCTTGGAGTTACCTATCTGTTACCATGGGAATATCTATTACGATCATTATCTTGGGTTATTGGGGATCATCCCTTATTACATCGGACTTATGATCGGCGAAATGTAGATGTAATTAATAAATGTTGCCACAACTCTGCTTAACCCTTTGCGGTCGGCTGTTAAGATGTTACGAGACTATGCAAGTGATTTTTGTGAGCAATATTTGTAACGACGTTGTGTATTTCAATAACTGTGAATGTCGGTGATAGGATACTCATCTTAAGTTGCGCTTAAGTAAAGTTCTGTCACGACAAATTCTTTGTAAAATGAAGATTCATATTCTAAGATACAAATTCTTTGTTTTGCCAGAGTAGGTACCCTGGGTGTCTTGAAGGCCCGAGTGAATAGGTCAAACATCAGCCCGTCAAATATACATATATATATATATATATATATATATATAAATTACAGGATATGAGAGATGGCTCGATATTTTATTAGAACTTAAAACTGAATAGCTTTTCAGTAGTCGGGCATCACTCGTGTAAAATGATGTTTGAAAATAAATAAGGCAGAAAAGGTGTATATCAAAATCAACGTCAACTTTTTAACACTTATACCATTTATGAATCAAATTCTAATAAGTTGAGAGTCTATTACTAAACACCGAACAGTTAGCATTCCAAGCTTATAATACTAAGAATTTTCAAACCATTTTGCCTAATCTGGGGCTTGAAACTGAAGTTATCAAGCTCAACAGCAACACATTATGTGCTACTTGACCTATGAAGAAGTTTGCCAACAAATTACCCGACTCAACAAATAAAGATGTAAGCGTGATAAGGTAATCTTTAACATTGTTTTGTCACTGGCTGGTCAAGTTTCAGGAGACAACTTCAAAAGTTTGCGTGACGACACAAAACTAATTACGAAAGAGGCCGCCACTGATCATGACTGTGTTCTTAATGTCTTTAGAAGATTGTATCGACAAGAACACGAGACGTTGTTTTTGTTCTTTTTGTTTATTTTCGGCGTTGTTTTAGTTTTAGCGATGGTTTGGATAATAATTTTGTTTGATTGTATTTTTTATATTTTCGTTTGAATACAAAAAATGTTTTATAAGTTTGGAACATAATAACATTGTACTCAAATTACTATTGTCAAATACATTTTTTTCTGTGTGTACAATAAAGTATAAATAAATAAATAATGATCAATTGGAAAGATGTAATCCTATATCTAGTATTAAATTGTATTTGATTTTGAAGTCACAGTTTTATGGTGACTTATGCTTATCCATCACAAAGTTTAGAGATTAAGAAGATCGTAAAAGAAAGAGTTCATACTCCAAAAACTTAACACACATGTATGCGAGCACTAGTATTACTATTTGAAAATTAAAAACCCAGCTATTACTTACTCAACCTGGAATGAGGACCCAAAATTTGGTTAGTGGCAATAGCAAACTCGTGTCCCTTCGACCAACGAAACATTACAATGGAACAAATATTTGGTTCGTCTCAAGTGTCTTACTAATATTCTTGAACCTTCTCGAATGTTCTAGAATGTTCTCGCCG